GAACATGCTTAGCCCCACACTTTGGAATTTCAAAACAAAATTAACTCCATTCGTTTGTGCTTCGTTTGTGCTCAACCCCTTCYAAAGTTGTCCAACTTTGAAAATTGGGAGCTGAAATGTAATCCCAGCTACTTTCCTTTGTAAAAAAAATTATTTTGTCATGTGAATCTGATCACAACTGTCCACCTAATCATTGTTACCTCTATTGCCTTTAGTCGTAACATATTTGGTTTGCCAGAAAAACCCATACACTTGTGAATTAGAAAATTTTTTTTTTATTTTTTATTAAGTTTGCATAATTTTAGAAAAAAAAACATATTTGTGACTCAACAAATGGACTTACAGCCTAACACTAAAGATATGATTGTAATACAGGCTGTACTTTAAATACGTTCTATGTATTTGGTTAAATCAAACTGATGTGGATTAGAAAAAAGTTTTTGATATAAGTGCATGATTTTCGAACGTTAAAAAAATAATTTCTATTCAATCAATGAAACTTAAGTATAATCAATATCTATATAATATTTTTATAATAATTATATTCTATAGGTACCCAATAAATACATACGTGCATACMTATACATTTAATTAGTAGTTAATAATTATTAATTACCATCCTTATCCATATTTATTATTGTTTTTTGTACATAATATATTAATAGTTAAATATTATATGTACGTCTTCGGTTTTTTAAGACGATATTTAAGTTGTAAATTATATTATTATAGTTAAATATTATAAATTATAATACAGTTTAATTTGTTAAATAATAATTTATAGTAGAAATGGTGAATTACATACGTTTCCATTCTACCTTCTTACACGTACCACCAAAAACGAATTACATAGGTAATTTTTTTTTAAATATAGAATTTTTAAAATTTCTTATTAAATTTTAATAATGGCAAAAAAAGTCACCTTAACATCTTTTAGCAGGTTCTGAAACCTGCAGCTCCACCCTAATTTTATTTTTTTGTTGAGAATAAACTGAAGTTGTACAAATAATCATACACATTTTATACTAAATATATATTTGCAAAAAATAATTAGTGAAATTTGTGTGTGGCCAAGGTAAGAGAATGTACATCCATATTCCATACTCATTTTTATACCAAACGAATCAAACGATAGACAAGCACACATACACGCACATATATGTATATATATACAAGGTACTAATCGTAATCAAAAATTAAATTGTTCAGAAATTTTAGTTAAAATTATAAGTAGTTATAATAATATGTCATAGGAATACATTAATTGATACTTACGCTTATTATTATATATTAAAAAGTATATTTCTTACAAGTTTATAATAGGTAAAATATAAAAAAGTAACTTAACTTAGATAAAATTAAAATTAAAACAAGAGTAAGTGTAGGTTGCTTTGCTGTACAGTAGGTTACAAGTGGGTCTCTGTATAATGGATTATATTAAATTTGAATTTAATGATAAATTATATCATATCATTGTAAACGAAATTCGAATTAATATTATAAATAACAACATAAAACTAAAATCTGTTACTATTGACTGATCAACATAATCAGCAATTTCAAGAAGTGACTAATGAATTAGGAGTCAAATGGAAGTTCATTCCTCCACGCGCTCCCCACTTCGGAGGATTGTGGGAAGCAGCCGTAAAGTCGGCAAAGGGGCATTTACGCAAAATATAAGGTAACGCAATGTTAACGTATGAAGAATTGTATACTGTGTTGGTGCGTATTGAGGCCTGTCTAAATTCACGTCCTATCACSCCCCTCTCATCCGATCCTACGGACTTAAAGGCTCTGACGCCGGGTCATTTCCTTATCGGAAGCTCTCTTAGCTGTATACCAGAAGCTGACATATCAACTATGTCATCAAATCGACTGCGCCGGTGGCAAAGAACCGTGCAGCTTACACAGCAGATATGGCATTGATGGTGAACCGAGTACTTGTCGCAGTTGCAGTGCCGTCAAAAATGGATACAGTCTAAGGGAATAAATCTAAAGGAGGGATCAATGGTGGTTATTAAGGAGGACAATATACCTCCACTTCAGTGGCGATTGGGGCGAGTCACGCGGTTACTAGCCGGCGACGACGGAGTAGCAAGGGTGGCAATGGTGAAGACCGCGCGAGGTGAAATAAAGAGGGCAACTCGAACTTTATGTATATTACCGACAGACGAGTAAAAAAAATTATTTTACAGTCATTATATACCGTGTAGATAGCGAGCCTTTAATATAATAATATATACCTAATGTTATAATATTTCTATGAGTCGATATCATAGGTTCCAATTCATAAACTAGTTTAGTTTTATCTACTTTTTTATTGATTTAACTATTTAAGTAAATATTTTTCAAGGTATGGCGAGTATTTGCAATGATTAGATTTACGTACTGCCAGTTGTAGTGATGCTAATAAGAATTTGATTGAAGTAATTTTTTTCATCGAGATAAAAAATGTACGTCCACTCTAGCCTTCAAGAACTCAGTCCACTCTTGGTTGAGTTGTTTCTATTATTTCGTGTCATGTTCTTATACAAACGTTTTGATTCATATGTATCTGTTGAAGTACACAGATACACAGAAGCTAAAGGTAAATAATAATAAGATCGGATATATGTAATAATAAAATAATATGTATAATTGATATGAATAACTATAGTGCTCCGATGCGTAATATATATCAACGACTATAATCGTCCTACAGGCTTACTATACAGAACGAATACGCTATAGTAAAACAAAATGCCTATTCAGCGTTTGATGTACAACGGTGTGAATAATTCACTTATAATCTATATAATATAGGGTGTGTTGTTTACATTTAACACTTTCCCTTAAACAAATACCTTAATTAAGAATTAATATACGTATCTAATTCCCAACATCTCGCTGAGTTCCTAGAATCTTTGTCGTGGAGTTGGCTTAGTTAATATGTCAGCTAACTGCTATTTGCTTGGCACAAGTATAGGTAAAATTTCTAGTAGTTTTCAAAAGTGAAATTTCGACAAAATCGATTTTTTATTTTGATGTCAAACTACTCAAACTCCAAAAAAACTAATTTACAGTAGGGTAAAGTATACACTATTGACTATTAAATAATTATTAATACCATAAGAATTATTTTCGTTTTTTAATATTTAAATTATTTATAGTCAAACGTCAACGACATTCAGATTACCTATAATGGAATATCATCATATTTTAATTCGCCAAATACAAGGAGAAATATCCTTCATTATTCATTTTTATTAAAACTATTAAAAAACTCAATACCAAGATATTCCTTATTTAATGGAACGATTTAATTTTCGAATTAATACCAAACCCACCATAAAACAAAAAAGTTTTTTAACCAATAGTGTTTCTAAAATATACTTAAAATCATCAACTACAAATATACTTATGTTGGAAACAATATGGATATTAATTTTAATTAATAATTAATAATGGCTATACAATTATATAGGTAACCCATAATATTATGTTCTTTGTTATATGAATGAATGTGAAGTTTATATTGTTCGTAACTAATTTTATTATAATATCTTTGTCAATTCAAAATTTTATATATGTTGTTTTTTAATAAAGATAATAATAATAACGCGTTTTTTCCAGTTATTGGCACCTAATCTGCTCTATTACCTATGGCATTGAATTGTGAATAACTACCTATCGATAAATTGTAATAAACAGTAGGTAAATCCAAAGGCTTAGCGATGAACTTGAATGAAAAATCATGGACATAGGTATGGGGGGGAGGGGGTTTGGGTGTTCAAACACCCCCCGAAATTAAATAAAACAATCTAACCTAACCAAGAAAACAAAGTTTTATCTTATAATTTTTTTTTATTTTTTTAAATTTGTAAATTATATGGACAAAATATTGTATTTATATTATAAATAATTATAATTATAATTATATTATTTAATACATACAAATAAATGATTCTTAATTTTATCATATTAATATATATTTAGACAAAAAACCCCTCCGAAAATATTTCCTAACTAGGTACGCCCATGTAAAAAATATACGAATACTTAAATTGTTCAACGTTCAATATGTTATTTATTGAAATRCATTTGTTTAAGTATTATTAATCCATTTAAAGTAAATACAATTGTAATAAATATCAATATCTTATCAATAGACAATATTTAATAAATTATTTATTTGTGACTAAGGCATAAAACAGTTAAGATGTTCAACACTATTTGAGAATGAAATTAATTGGTATTTAATCAAATTAAAGTATCTAGAGTTTACGCAGCTTCCTACTTATTGACTTATTATTAATATTGTTGTAAATATACAAATGACTTTTTTAATTTTACTTCACCATCTAATATTGTATCTGAGAGAATAAAGGATATCAAAACAATAATAAGAATTATTTGCGACCCAACAAATATAATTATAATTTCAAAAATAAATGCTTACAAATGATATAATAAAACTGAAAAGACTTACTAAATTAATAATAATAACTACTATTAATACAGGTATGTTTTTTGTAAATATTTCTTAACACGTTGACTGCCATCGTTGGCGTCCGCAGACTACTAGCATACAACAGTAATTTTACGGACRCCGGCGGTCGCACCTTTGTATTATTTGTACGCCATATGACCGCGGGCTGCCATAAACACACTTATTTGTAAAGGGGAATATTTTTCGTGGCGTCAAAGTTATGAAGATAATGTTTAAATGATGGCGTAGAGAAGAAAATTTCGCGTAAAATGATATATTACTCGCTGCAAACCGATTATTTTATATACATTTATTATTATACGTAAAATATCACTACAATAAGCATAATATAAAAAAAATTCAATCACTCTTTTTATTCAAATAATATGTTTCCAATTTCAATTCTTAAAATATATAAACATAATACAAATTATAAATTTAATACAAAACATAATTATTGAGACGTATTTATAAATAATATATGTAAAAAATAATTAAAATCCTTAGTTTGTGTGATGCAGATTAAAACAACTTATACATGTATAAGATTTACATGGTGCGCAGAATGTAGTGATTTTTTTACTTCCTTCGATGCCTGTTTCAATCCAACTATTATTGTTCTACTTTGATAGCAGTGGAAACATCTCTTTCTGATTTTTCTGTTTCTACCACATTTTTCTGTTGTTTCTTGAAATATGTGTTTGCTGTTAACTCTTGCTTGTTGAACTTCTTGTGGTCCTTGATTGTCTAATCCGAGTATTGTATCAACTAATGTTTCTCTAAATTGTGTTATCTTAATTTTTTTATCAGAATTAATTGTATTGTAAACTATTAAAGCATTTAMCAYAGCAGTTCCAAACAGYATTTCTGTCGCCACCTTRTGGTACCAACGTATAGACTTACGAACAGCTGTACTATAGCTAGACAGTTGATCCAATAGATCAATTCCCGCTTTTCCGGAGTTGTAGTCGACAATTATCTTAGGCTTAACTATCRATTCTTTWTTTTTGTTMTTTTTTCCTGTGTCAATCATATCAATATTATGTTTTGTTGACAACATAGTTACATCCCTTTTATCACGCCATTTCGCAACAATAATACCGTCTGAATTTTCCTTTCCGATTATTTCYCCGGGACTTAACTTTTTTTTTGTTATTTCAGGTAATTTTACTCTATTTGATCGCAGAGTTCCAACTAGGTGTGTATCATWABTTAAAAGTTCGTTTGCAAGTGTAATTGAAGTGTAAAAATTATCCGTGACCAYTGTACGTCCCATGTTTAAATATCTTCTACTTAGATCTAGAACAACTCTACAACCCAATCCCTTTCCATCCACTTGACTCTTTCCTCCATAAACTTGAACGTTATAAGTATAACCATTTGTTCCGCAAAGTTTAAACAATTTTACACCGTACTTATGGGCTTTTCCCGGTATATATTGTCTAAATAATAATCTGCCACGAAAAGGTACCATTGTCTCATCGACGGCTAATACCTCACCTGGTTCCATTACATTTTGAAAACGGTTTACAATTTTATCAATTATATTACGTATTTTATAAATACGATCACCTTCAGGGGCTTTTTTATTGTCTGAAAAGTGCCAAAATCTTAGAAGTAATTCGAARCGATTTCTARACATTGTTTTTTGTGCCACATAGTTTTTATATCTATGTTTGGTGCTCCAGTAACTACCTAAATTTGGCATTTCAACGAGTCCCATCTATATTAATAAACCCGAAAACAATTTAATCTCTTTTGAATCTGTAGGAACCCATTTTGTAAACCTGCTAGACTTGGAAATTCTATTATTTGATAAAAATTGTTCCGCGTTTCTGTTCGTTTCAATAACAATAAGTTCAATAATGTCATCAGTGAAAAATAAATTAAAACAGTCCCTATTATTAGCTATTATTATTATCATTAGCTGATATATTAATTTTTAATCCCGGAAAACCACTAAAAACTAGCTGTTTTTGATTATTACMTGTTACATTTAACCAAATTTGAACACCAGGATTTGAAACCGGTAATATTGTGTCTTGTGAATGTTCGGTATCGCTGGTTTCACTTTGTTCATCTGAATCAGAAGTTATAATTGGGTTGTARGTTTSGTCTTCATCTGTGTCATCGAAATCACTAAATGAACTTCCACTATCATCAGTWTCTAATGATTGACGTACCGTATCGTCATTTACTTTAAGTCTCTTTGGACGTGACGCCATAATTAAAAATTAAAAATCACAATAAAATATCATACGGAATTTTATTATGTACAACTGCCGGCGGTTATATGGCAACTGACTAATTATATTATAATGATAACGCCATGCGACCGCCGGCTACCATACACTTTAAATATCATATTCTTACGCAGAAAGACATAACAAAGATAATAATATCGGAATTATTTTTTTCCGATTATTTGTTCTATAAATATGCCAATGTACATTTATGGAATAACATCGAAAATAGAACGTGGCTTTGTAGGAAAGATAGCGATGCGACCGCCGGCTGTCGCATGGCAGTCAACGTGTTAAGATTCCGAAGAATCTATTTGACAAAAACGATTGAAACTTGGTATATATCATCTATATGTATAAATACAACTTCCTATTCATTTTCATTATTTTTTTAAAGTTTTTTATACTTTTTTTTGTTCTAAAAAGTGATCCACTTAAACCACATGTGGTGTGAAGTGGACCACGTGTTTTATTTCTAATATAAACCCCTATTTTATGTTTCGTAGAAAGGTCAATATCATACATATAATACTTTAAATACTTTTATAGTCAACAGCCTATTTATCAAAGATGCTCGATAGACATTTGCAACTTGGGCAATGATTACTAATCATATTATGTACATTTAATCTAGGATTTAAACGTTAAGATTGTGTAGGTAGAGTTATATATAGTAACTACCATATAAATATAATATAACCTGATTTATATTTTTTTATTTAACAATTCCCTAGTTATTGGGTCGTTTTTTATTTCTTTATTTTCACCATCACTAAATATTTCCGCGGTAATAATGTCTAAATTTTCTACTAAATTAGTTAATTATAAATCATCAACTATTTCAGTATTATTTTCATTTTCTACTACTTCTATGCTATTATTTCAATTATTCTATCTAGCGTTTCCCTAGCTATTGCTTTTAATTCATCGGGATTCGTGCTCATTAATATCTATTTATTATTACTAAAAAAAAGTTTTTTTTTTATATATTTTACTAATACCTATCTCATATACTTAATTATATATTTAATTATAATTATACTTATTTATTTGTTATTTGATTTATTACTTATCCTTATTTACCTAATAATATAATATCACCTATATATAAAATTTTTATTTAATATAACCTTTTATTTATCTGCTTCAATATAACTTTAATAAAATATCAATATACTCTTCAATATAATTTTCCTCTAATACTCTCAATATAACTTCAAATAAACCTTAATATAATCTTTTTAATATAATCTCAATATAATCATCAATATGATCTCATTTAATTATCTCAATAAAACTTCAATATAATTCCCAAAAAATCTCATTAATAATCTCAAAAATTAAAAACAAATTCCTACCTACGATGGACCAATAGACAAAGGAGATGGTTATAAAATGTATGCTTACAATACTGTTGTATTCATCCCGTAGCTTGATCTTCTCGCCGTTTGTCGAGTTGTAACAAAATGAGCTCGATTTCTCCAGAGTTGTTGGAAAGACGCCTCCTTCCAATGGCGATCCACGTGAGTGAAGTTGCCTCTGTTGTCTGAAGTTGACGGAATCCAAAATATTTATAGAAAATATTTTAGCTGTTCTGTCTCGTTCTTGGAAATCAAACCCTGTCTACAGCGCCAATTTTGTGTAACATCCCGACTGAACGTCGATTCATACATCAACGTAGAGATGAAATACTCAGTGCCGTAGAAACCGCGGTGCATTGCACCGGAGCCCCAAGTTGCAATTTCTAATATGAAGCCCATACTTAAATAAAATAATATAAGAATTAAGAATCTATKCTGATAACAATTTTTTCATGAGATCATAATATAATGATAATGCCGTTAGCACTTTGTTATTTTAGTATAATATAGCACAGCCAGGCTTCAAATTAGCACCCCCAGTTCCCATATAATAACATGTARTAATATAATTATTTTTAAATGTTTTGAATACATAATATATTATGTAGGTACAGTATACTTGCTTAATAGCTTAAATAAATAAAGAGTAGCGATTACATTAACATTTATACAATTTCAACTTTATTTTTAGTTATTAATTTGTCTATACAAAGTATTGAAGAAAAATTAATTAAAATATTAATTAATTATATTTGTATTATAATTAAAAAGTAAGAATATAAATAAGTAATAATTTAAAATTATTGCGATGCAGTTTATTATATTATTAGTGGGTTTGTGGACTGTGGGGGCGCTATAAGCCTCCCGCGAATCTATGTACCATAAATTATTGTTAACTTTGTTAAATTGGCATAATTGTTTTACTTTGTTATCTTTTTAAACAGAGTTGATCCTTATCATTATGTGTTCATATTTTTGGTATCAAGTAGTATGTTTTTGCTACTACAGCACGTAACACGTTCTTATTTATGATCTGATTAAAACCTCAATAGGTTATGGGCCCAGCACCATAAGCACGTGTTTATTATTTTTTTTATTTTACCATAAGTTTGGTGTGCTGTAGACATGTCGTTAAAAGAAGAAAAGTACGGGATAAGTTAATTTTCAGGAACTGGTTATGACAACTGGAGGTTCCGTATGACAATATTACTCCGGGAAAAACAAGTAAGCCATTGTATATCTGATGACCCGCCCACTGACAAAACTGAATTGGCAAAATGGAAAAAGGAAGATGGTATTTGTTTTTCCTTGATTGTGCAGTGTATTGCAGCTACTCACTTAGAGTAATATGTTAAAGAAGGTAACACCTTTAAAGAAATTTGGGAAAAATTAGCAGCTACATTTGAGCGCAAAGGTGTCACAAGTCGATTATTAGTCCTGAAGAGGATCTTGACGTTGAAGTACGTTGATGGCGAGTCCATGGAAACACATCTCTGTAAATTTGACGATATGGTACGTCAAGTGAAATCTACTGGAAGTAAGCTAGAAGATGACTTGCTTGCCTGTCTACTACTTCTCTCACTTCCAGAATCGTACAACACAATTGTAACTGCAAGAGAAACATTATCAGGTGAGAAGATAACCGTTGACTTTGTCAAAAATCGACTGCTCAATGAAGATTTGAAACATCAAGAACAGAGTGGTAATGAAGTTGATATCAGTAGTCAATCCAGTAAAGCCTTTGTCTCTAATACAAAGCAGTTAAAATGTTGGATATGCCAAGAATTAAGGCATGGAAAATGGGATTGTCCAAACAAACCAAAGAAAAAGGATCCTAAGGCATGGAAAAGAAACAAGCTCATCTAACAACTGAGGATGAATCAGATGATACAGACAATAGAAGCTTTGCGTTTGTATCATATAAAAATAAAGAAGATAGTTCCAATAATCTTCATTGGTATCTTGACTCGGGAGCTTCTGACCACTTAATTAACAATAAACAGTACTTTAACTCCATAGAAGAATTGAAATATCCTATTTCAATTGGTGTTGCTAAAACAGGACAAGACTTAAAAGGAGAATCCGTTGGAGCTGTCAGCCTAATTCAATTATTAAATGGTAAAAAGAATAATTTCAACTTACAACATGTTATATATGTTCCAGAATTAAGAAATAATCTATTATCAGTGGGGCGCATTGAGCAGAGTGGTTTACGAGTTGTATTTACTAATGGTCAAGCCAAAATACTCCATGATGACACAGTTATAGCTATTGGAAATCGCAAAGGTACCATTTGGCATTTATGAAATTATTTTCTGTATCAATAATAAAACAACTAATTACTGTAATACTATTAGAATTTTCAATTATGGCACAGAAGATTTGGTCACCTTAATGAAAAGTACATGCACAAGCTGGAAAATTTGGTAGATAATCTGAAACTAAGTAAGACTACCACTAATTTTTCCAAACCTTGTGAGACATGTATTATGAGCAAACAAACCAAAAAACCTTTTATAGGAACACGAACTCGAGCGACAAAACCTCTACAAATTGTGCACACAGACGTTTGTGGTCCTATATCACCACACAATTGGGATGGAAATAAATATTTTGTTACCTTTTTAGACGATTATACACATTTTGTTGTAGTTTTTCTCATCAGTTCAAAAAGTAAAGTTCATGATTGTTTTAAAGTTTATGAAGCTATGGCAACCACTCGCTTTAACAATAAAATAGTATGCTTAAGATGAGATAACGGTGGTGAATATGTGTCACATAATCAACAAATATTTTGTCAAGATAAAGGGATTCAATTAGAATTTACTGTTCCATATACATCCGAACAGAACGGACACACTGAACGTCTTAACCGAACCTTGGTTGAAAAAGGTAGAGCTATGTTATTAGACTCCGGTATTAATAAAAATATGTGGGGCGAGGCTGTATGTGCTGCAGCATACTTATTAAATCGTTCACCTACATCAGCGCTTAAAGAGAAAACTCCAGCTGAAATGTGGATTGGTAAAAAACCAAATGTGTCAAATATTAGAGTTTTTGGTGCAATAGCTTGGTCAGAAATACCAAAAATTAAAAGAGAGAAATTTAAACCGAAGTCTATTAAATGTGTCATGGTTGGGTATTCGAAGCATGGATACAGACTGTGGAATTCAATTGAAAAGAAAATATTTGTTGCCAGAAATGTGATTTTTGATGAATCCAGTTTTTTGAATAAGACCATAAACTTGTATATTCAAGATGATGTGGCGAGTTCAGACAACTCTCAAGATGAACATAATGTAGTAAATAATAAGAGCAACATAGTTGAAGACATTCAAAACAATGTCTTAAAATTACAAAAATTGTTGGATAGCGATACACAAGAAAAAATCAATAAACAAGTTCAATAAACTTCTGAAGAAACTGATGTGGAGTATAGTAGACCAAAACGTGCAACCAAAAAACCAGAATATTTAAATGATTATGACACGACGTCATTATATGCCATGGCAATGTCTGCAGAAACCTTTGTTAATAATTTACCAAATGTGTATGATGATTTAGTAAAAAGTGAAGATAAAGAAAAATGGGAGTATGAAATGAAAGAAGAAATGACATCTC